ATTGTACACGGAAATGGCTTCACATGAGCAAAGCGTTGATCGGTTGTTAGAACTAATCCGAAAAGACCAGCTAGATGAAAATACTTCATTGGAACCACTGAGAGCCTCACTAAACTACTTCATTCAGTTGAGAACAGTGCATCTGGCCAATGAACCCGTGGTCAATTGCACAACCAGACTATTCGAGTTCACTCGATGCGCACTGGCCTCTGTGGACTCGTTGGCTGCTGATTCGACTGCTTTGAGCATACTCACCGGACAGGTAAGAAATCGGGCATAGTATGTGGAATCGGAGACCGTTGACAGTATTCACTATGTAGGCTTTCTTTCAACCAATCATTGATTCATTCATTAGTAAATGTTTATTGTATCCGATTTTTTGCTGTTTGCAATTAGAATGGTCTCGAATTGAGGAACGGGCGTTACAAACTCGCTCCTGATGGTTCTTCGTACACAGACAAGGGAAGGGAATGGTTGCCTACGGAGTCACTCACTGGGACATCTAGTTAGTCCCATAAGTAATCGAAAAGAAAAATCCGTTAGATGTGAGTTACCTGGTCTCCGCGTCTGTTTGCTCCGAATTCGGTTAAAACCGGTCCGAAACAGGACGTAATGATTTTGGTTTTGTTTCGGTTCAAGTCACTGATATGTTTTACGGCCTCGGTTCCGAACCCGGCTACTGCCTCCGTCAGTTTTAGTTGTCGTTCGCTTCACTGTCGTCCGATCTTATACCCGTTGGAACCTGGTGCGGTTGGCCATCCCAGAGTTTAGTTTCCCGGTCTCTACGACGCTGAAGATCAGTAATTTTTGATCCTCTATAAGTGTGCATCACACTTGAATGTGTAATTGAAAATCGGCGTACTGTGCACTCCCTTTCTCGTTACCCCTCCCCGTTGTTTTTGTGGTATTTGAACATTAAGAGGGATTCTCGACAAGTGTGTACTGAGTCAGGCACACATAAATGTGCTTTCGATAACTCTGCTTGTCATCAACATAATCGAAAGCTTCGCAAGCAGTGCAAATTTCGACCGTTGTAGTTGACAGAAGTCTTTCCAATTTGTAAATTGAAATGAAATTGTTGTGCTTGGCAAGATTATTTTGTTATCGTCGAGATTTGTGACAATAAATATCTTCCAATAGATCAGCGCTATTTGCGTTGTCTACCTCGCGACAACTATCCCAAACAATTCAGGATAACAGTCGTGTCATGCATAAGCGATATCACTCCCCCATGTACTCCCTGATCTCACAACATATCATGTGTTGGAATAGGTAGTAGTATGTGAATTCCTGAGAAGTAGTTCCCTGGAAGCACCCGACCCGTTCCGCAAAGTCAAATTTTTATTATGAGCGATTTAACAAAGCTAAAACTTATCATGCTACATAGGATAACTTCAGAATGAGAAAATAACAATGATAATCGTATGCATGATCACTCGCGGATGTTGAAATTTTAAGTGTTCCAATGCTTTATCAAGTTGCGACTTAAATAGTTCAGCTGTAGGAGCACACACTACATCAGATGGAAGAGAATTCCATATGCCGCACACTGACTGCAAACGAGTGATGCCGGCAACCAATGTAGCTGTCCTGGGTCTTCAACTTTAGTGGATGTCCCCTCAGGTAATCATTATAAGATAAGGTCAGCATAGAACGGTAAGGGTGGTTGGGTTGATGCAGTATGTGACCACTATTGCCGGTCAGATATGTACCTCCGGTCATCCCTCATCTAGTCATTCACATACCTGAACTCCGGATGTTTATTTTGGTCAACTATCTAATCCGTGACACGACGCGTAAAATTTGGTGGATATGCTGTTCAAAGAAGCATATTACTGAATCAAACATTATTCAAACCAATATTTTTCGGGGTTAGATACGACTAATCGCGAAAATTTGTTATTCAGTCTTGATTCTAGTTGTTTCGTGTGTGTCCCTCTGAAAGTTCCGACTAATCCTTTCTATATAAATTTTATAAACCCTATCGATCCCGGTCGCCATTCAAATACCAAGTCACATTATTGAAGAGAAGAAAGAAGCACCACCCGCACTATTTAAGAAACCGAAAAACGAGTATCGTGATATGCAAAAATCTGCTTGAAACTTATCACCAAGTGGACATTTATCAAGTTTTCAGAATCGCGCATATCCTGTTCCGTCCTTATCCTCTAAGTCAGTGCGCTGTATCCTGCTGCGTACGGCTGAAACAATTGAAGTCGCGTTTCTTCACCATCACCCCACAATGCCACCAGAGGTGCTTTGTCTAGCTCCTATTTCTATCATGACCAGTTGTCAAGTGACTGGATGAATATCGTAACCAAGGCGAAGCTTATTCCAAATAGCGACTCACATAGAATCGCTTTGTACATTAGTTGATAAGATCCACCCACCCCACCCCCTTGGAATGTATTGCCTATGTAATTGTCAATGACCATTTGATGACTAACCGAAAACTGGCTTGTTTCAACCATGACATTGTTTTCAGTGTATTACGTAGAAGACATCTATTAACTAAGAGGTTTTCTGAAACATTTGGATCCCGTAATGAATTTGAACAGGTTTTCAACAATCGATGTTTACGTAGCGTGGTTCAGGTGGGATAGAATAAGTGGGTTGTTAATCTAGATGTGAGTCGTCATGAGCTTGGTAATGCATCGAGGAAAAGGTGGCTATCGCATCAAAATCAGCACAATAGGATTCACTGGTTGGGACACGTATTGCGCATGCCCAACCATGATCCGCAGCACCGCTTATTTTTCGCTGTTGTTGCTCCAAGTTGGAGGAAACCACATCGAGGTCAACAGATGATGTAAAGACGAGGTATGAAGGAATGCACAGAGCGATTTTTATGAGTAGGCGTCTCCCGTCTACCAGGTTTTGGTTCAAAACATTTGGAAACCGGCTGGATGAAGACACTGAGGGATATAATAGCAAACCGACGACAGTGGCGTTCTTGTTGTCGTTTCTTATCAGGTCAGAATGCTTGAGACGATATGTATGCAGAGTTCGATTGCGTACTCTGTGTGTTGACCAGAGTGGCTCATCTTCTTCTCCCTCCCTCGAAATAGGTCCAGTCCTCGTCCACCTTAAATTTTACCACTAACCTTGTATACATTGCGACTTTCGCAGCGATCAGTGAAGTTCTTTCACTATACGATGATGATGATGATGATGATGACGATGATGATGATGATGATTACAGGATCGATTTGATTGTACTCGCAGGGAACCCGATGAACAAGTGATGTTTCGACAAAACTACAATCGGAAACTCGTTGACACCTTTTCACTGCTCTACTTAGGCCGAGTTCTGTTTGCACTGATGCAAATATTTAGTCTACCGGTGTTTCTGTCCATCTTTATGCATTATATTCCAAACTAGGTCTGATTTATATAGAGATTTGAAAAATATAGTTTTTTGTTTGAACCGTGAGACAATGAGTTACCTCTGTCGGGTCAGAACCTATACACGAACAACGTGGTACGATTGCAGTTTTTACACCGCCGCGCTGCCTTGCGGGTCAGGCTTTGGCTAGCCAAAGGCTTCGGTTGTGGATTCCTCAAGAAAATTCACCTGCCTTGGCCTGGACAACCTGGCAGTACTCAGCCCGTAAGCCATTCGCGGAGCGTTTTTCTTTTTTTCATAAAGATTATCGCACCATGATTTGCTTGGCACACATTCTATCCTCAGACAAGTGTGAAATATCATGTATAATAATAGCAGTATCGCACTCTTGAGCGAATCATGAAGCTTTTTCTTTTTATAAAGATTAGTCGTTGGTGATTTGTTTGGCACACAGTCTCGACTCAGACGTATTAGAAAATATAACGTATATAGAACATATAGTAAATAGATACGCAACGATTTCCGCTCAGTAGGCTTCGCTGTTTGGGACACACTTTGCATATGCCTGCCGGTCACCTTTTTCTCCGTGCTTTATTTGTTACTGCCACTCCGGGTTAGGGAGTATCACGTGGATGTAGACAGATGACGTGGAGACGAAGCATGAATTCACAGAACTTTCTGGTGTAATGGGTGTCTCTCAGCTTCAAGGCTGGGGTCCAAAAGACTCCGTAACTGGTTCGTTGGAGATAGTGAAGGATATGGCAGCAAACCAACAACAGTGGCGTTCTTATTATCACGTCTCATCAGATACGAATGCCTGAAAGTGTGTATGCAATTAGACTGTGCATTGTGTGCGTTAACCACAGGAGTTTGCTCGGTTTCTCCCCTTCTCGAAATGTGTCAAACCCCTATCCACCGTGCACATTCTCACTTATCTTGTATGCGCTGTGACTGGCAGTAATTGGCGAAGTTCAATTCACTGTGTTCCGCTGTACGTTGATGGTAGTCCTGATGATGATGATGAAGTAACACTCTGTAAGAAACACAAACCGTGGTCCGTGTAGCATTGTCCCAGGTGCGTAAATTCTCGTGCAATAATCTGCCTCCAAATGTCACTAATTTTGCTACCCAGTTTGTAGTCACGGCATTATTCGAACAAAGTCGCATAGCTCTAGATGAAATTACATGCATCTGCGATGAGGCGACTATCCTTAAGGCATTTAATCTCCAATAACTCTAGAATAAGACTGAGATGAAAGTGCCTATGTGTTAGTTCATCCATTGTTACCTGTTGGTGATGGAAAAAAAGCGGACCCATATGCTTACCAAGGTGGAATATCAGTAGGGAATTGTCTAAAATACTAATCCTAAGGGAAACTAACACATTTTTTTCTCTCAAACGTTTTCAACATTTCCAATGGCATGGCTTAGGATGAACGGTAAACGATGAACGAGCACTTTGCCTGATATTTGACAATCTGGACTACCTTGTCTCTGTTCGATAATTGGAAATCACAGTTTGGTGTGCATGTTGATGTGGTGTTCGTTCTTTACACCATAAGCTCCATTCAAATAAAATGATAAAAATAATTTCTAGTAAATGCAAGCGTTCTTTTCCTTTTTAGTCTCCTGCTAAGCAGAGGGAATCATGTCTTGATCGGCTCATTTTCAGCCATAAAAAACATTGTCTTACCGACGGTCTGTTTGGTCTACCTAAACGTTTCGCGATAAAAAAAACCAAATCGATCAGGTGATTTAGTTCACTGTCACCTGATTGTGAGGTCCACACTCACCTCTTGTTGGAAAATCCTGGGAAAGTATTCTCATAAGTGAGATTTAAAAAAAACAGCCAACGTGAACAATCGCCATTATTACATTCCGTTTTCAAATCGTGAATCATTTCCTGAAATTCACGATCATTCGATCATTTTCTTTTTAGACAAATACCGTCAATTTCCTTGATTTCGTATTTCACTTATCAGCTAATCGCTTACTTGTAGTTACTCTAAAGAGAAACTAAGATTTCGTTACACTGTTAACCGGAGACATTCGTTAACGAGTGCTTAAAATATAAACGATGCGAAATCTGATCTTCTGGAAAAAGGATACTTTTAACAGATTCTCGTCATTTTGTCGTAGCGCTCAACCTTTCCCCTAAAACGTTTTTTGTGGCGTGCTGCATGGGTGAAAACTAAAATATTGTTGAGTCCTAGTTTTGCTGTTGGAAATGAACCGTGACAAAGGTCGCTTGACTGCAGAGCCGTTGATAATCGTCATTACGTATTCATCCACTGATTACTATTCCGTGATTTAGAGCGTATATAGGATTTACTCCTTAAGCCTTGAATTGCATCGATTTTATTGTTTATTTGCTGTGTCATACAGAAGCCAACGAATGTGACCGGCTTCTCGTTCGTTTTCCATCTATCTAGCCTTTGGAGCCACTGGAAACGGCTGCCGCAGAGGCGACCGCCTCTGCCGGAGGTCCGATAGGGCTCCAAGCAACTCCTGAACCAGCTGAGAAAGCGGCCCCGGATTCCAAACTCACCGGACTTGTCGGTCTTTTGTCGGAGATTGTTCGTTTTGCCACCTCGATGCGTATTACTGCCCGCCGTATTCGTCGTCGCCTGCCGTCAGATTCAAGCAGTCAACCCTTGTCGTTCTCTACTGAAGTAGCCGGGAATATCGAGAAGGCTCTGGAGTTGCTCAGCGCCATTGTGGCAGCCTTGCGCGATGGTACTCGACTTACCGCTCAATTGACTGCTCGTCAGGCGGTAAGTTATCGTGCAACAAAACAGACTGTTCCTTAAATGCGTTTTTCGTTGTCAGTATAATCTAACAATAGGCTTCGTTCTCTGTTTGGATCTCCTTTTTAGGAAGATGGTGTTGATATCAAACCAAGTGTTGTTATGTCCAACTGTCTAGTGGAAGCGTGCAAAGAAAATTTAACCGGGGTGACGGCTCCGGGTAAAGCCGGTGCTCCAGTCCCGGACGTAGTATTCCGAAACTACATGGCACAGGTGCGCGATTTGGTCTCCAAATTCGCGGTGGCTATGGAAAATGGCGAGTATGACTTTGACGGCACCAAGCAGGCTAAGGTAATTCAAGTGATGCATCTTGAAGTTATTTTTCCGAATATTGAAACTCAAAATGTTCTACTTGATTGTTTATTCCTATCACAAAGACCACTGTCACACTCTTGTTCCGGATCAGATACTTCTTCTTTCCTTACTATGTTCGCATCAGTAATACAGTCGTGTGCGAATTGTGTATAGTCTTTTGTGTCATCAGAACGAGTTTTGTCGAATCTCTAAAGGTTCTACCAGATTTTCATTTCCGTCATTCATATTCTTCAAAGTATCCACTCTCCTTTATTCACCTCTTTTACTCTCCACTTCAAACTATTCACTCATTCAGCCACAAGAACCTGTACAACTTCGTGCTGCAGCCTACAAACAAGCACAAGCTGAACTGGAAGGTTGCCGTACCAAGTTGGAATTGAAAGATGAAGAGGTTCGGGAACTTCAGATGGCTTTGAAAGCTCGAGCGAACGAACTGAGTGAGATGTCCGTCCGTGTGGGACTGACGGAGAAGCGACTGGAAAATGCGGGCAAAGGAAACGAGGAGAAAATCAGCCGCTTGGAACAGCGACTGGAACAAATGGAAGCCCAACAGAAACGGGAAGAACGGTCAGTAACCGTTATTTCATATGATGAAATTTTCAGGCCATGGGATTCCTATCGTATTATTCTTGGCCTCACATTAGGAGAACGAATCGAATCTTTGCTGATGGTCATATTTTCTACCACTGTCGTTTCTGTCATGCCTTGTAGTGGAGTGGGATTAAAACGTTGGCTAGCCATGCGGTTTAATTCCCAAATTGTCAACAACTACCCCCATTGAGAGAGAGCAAACGTATTTTCACTTTACCCGTGTTTCTGTTTTTGCCGTTTCGTATCTATAAAGATATCTGTTGGGGTTGGAGTGATGTCCATCGATAATCAAGGCGTTCATCTAATTTTTCTGGATCATTTCATTCTATTAGTTTTCATGCAAGACAATGGACGCAGATCGACCTCATAATCCTGAAGATTCTCTGCTCACTTACGATAACCTGACATCTGAGAATTGGAGGGGTGAACGACCTACGGACAGAGGAACAGTTCAGTTCAGTTCAGTTTTTACAACCATTAATCATGCTCTTTTGTGCGCCGGTTTTGGTTGCAGAGGAACACTTATTGATGGCATGTATACCTCTGTATGACAATCGATAACAGTTGAAAGAGACCTAATAATTATACCGCAATCGTCAGAGTAGAACGTGAGGACGGATTAATGAAGCATATATTTATGTTTTACACATTGACACAGTAAACCCCATGGGGACTTAGAACTACCTTTCTCAACTGACCCGGGTCGAAAAACAACTGTAGCAGCTGCTGGATATGAAGCGATTTTTTGACTTCACTATCTTATTATCCAACATTGATCTCAGCTCGATATTCCACCAACTTATGGAATCGACAATCTGCTCCGCTGTGCATAACCTGGTTCTCCGAGCAGTTAGTTTGACCCTCATGCTGCATGGTGATCGGTCGTAAGTGAAAGCAAGTATACAAGCAAGTACACATAATTAGGCGTTCTTAACCAAAACAAGGTAGCCACAAAACGGCTTTTCCATGTTGCACAATGCTTTCCCAAGGAAATCATTATTATACACTTAGAGAACCAAAAATTCTCTACTATTTCTCAGTTTATGTTTTCTACTCGAAGTCTCATAAAATCTTTCTCCTTTCTTCAGCACATGTGCACATGTTCTCATCTTCATCTATTCGACTGTTTTGTTTTCCACATGTGTGTAGGGAACATGAACAGGCGATCGATGCACTTCACGCGGATATTGAAGCTCTGGAACAAGAAAAGATTGATCTGAAGGAGAAATTGAAGACTCTAAGCAAGAAAGCACTCTTGGAAGGTCTTATTAAGGCCCCGATTGTTACTGGTATGTGTCTTCCTTCTGCCACTCAAATAGTGACATTTCATTATGGCATCCCAGTAGTATTCTGATCACGATTTATTTTTATGATGCTTACAATACAATCCGAAGGTTAGTTGGTATGGTGTTTTTCGCGAACCGCTTGCAAAGCTTCTTGTAGTCTATTAATATGACCTTGAATTGACTATTCTCCTGATTGATTATTATTAGCTATTTATCAGATACATTTTACCTTTCTGTTAGAGATCGATTCTGGGATTAAACAACCATGTGTTTTGTCATTTAGAGGCAAATTTATATAAAACATGCACTGACAGACATTCTAGTTTCATTTTTTAACTTGGTTTAACACAACTTTTGAAGGTAGTTTAAACGTTTACTCTGCTTGTTGTTTCAGCCACGTCGCCAGCGCGCCAGTCTTCTGTTGTGACGACGAAAGACGGCCCCACAGATTCTGTTCCTGCAACTCCTGGAGGTACACGACTAACTTCTCGGGATGCCAGCTTCTTAACCAATGAGGTAAGCGTGGGTGCGCGCGGTTTGGCAGATGTTTTTGTACTTTCGTTTGTTAGACACAAACAAATAACGTCGGCATTTCTCTGCTTGTAGATTATCATTGATGTGAGTTATATGCATTGTTTTTATAGTGTCTTGCGAGAATGAAAGCTATCCGAGGCGCATGTTTCCCAGACAGTTTGATCCGAAGCAAATT